TAAATGAACTTATTTTCTTTGCTCTTGCGTATACTTCTGTATAGATTGGGGCGGGGGGGGGGATGGTGGTACTGGAAGGACAGAGAGTGAGTTGGTAGGGGGAGAAAAAGGGGAGAGGGTTTTGACCTGCATGAGAGGAACCCCTGCTGACATGGCCAGTCTGACCCATTGAAAGGCCTGAATACGATAAATGCTGCTTTATCCTTTCTTGAAAGGAATGAGATAGCACAGCCTAAATGCCTGGGCATGCTTAAATAGGCAACTCTGGGACGTTTGAGTTGAGCGTGTTTGAAATCTGAGCTCTCTGACAGCCTGGGAGCTGCCACAGGTCACCTGCCTTGTTCTGTAGGGATAGGCCCAGGTCTCACAAGAAATTGTCCGTGGACGAATTGTAGTACAAATTCCTTTCTTTGTTGGTTGGCCTCTTTCACTAGACCATGGCCTATAAAATTTTGTAAAAACAATTCTTAAATATTATTTGAAAGGGCAAATGGCCCATGCTGAAAGGTTTGACAGTTTGACATATAGTGCATGGTTTTGATAGCTTGGAAACTGAAATGTGTAGCCAAGACTCTCCTTACTGCTTGTTACAGGCATGGTGTTTTTTAAATAGTGTCTTGTTGCTGTGCAGAGTTCTTATGCTCCTAGCAATTTGACAGGCAATGAGTCTGCTTCAGTGATCTTAAGTCCTTTTAGACTAATTTGTGTGAGAGTACAAAAAAGGTAGCATCTTTGGATCCAGGGTTCAAAAGGCGAAGAACCAGGTATCACCCATTAAGGTGTCATTCAAACAACCCTATGAAAGCAGATTACTTCATATGCTCCCCTGATAATGCCATGCCGTGGCTAAAGAGAAAGCTACTGAAGTTCCTATAGAGAAAGAATTGGACTGGACCAATTTCATCAATGACAGGAAGGTAGTGTGAACCAGATTCCTGCATTAGAATGTTGCATATGTGCAGTGAGAATGCAAGCCTTGCCTAGTCTGTCTTGGAATAGCCAAGGGCCATGTTCAAGAGCCTCTGGCCCCTCAGTCACTGGCCTACTAGTTAATTGCCACACGGACTTCATGACACATGGGCAGATAATATGACATTTTCGGTTTCTGTCACTCGCAAACGCCACAACGTTGCTTGCACTAGTTGCTAAGAAGCTGTCAGAAACCATTAGCAGTTGGCTTAAGTCGCCCTATGGCATTTCCTCATGGCATCAGCAAAACGAGCATAAATCACCCAGTGGAGCCTACTGCTATACTAATGAGGCTGTAAGCTTGTTTATGGACTAGCATCATTTTTATGATTATTTCCACCTTTTCAGTTTGCCTTCATTTGGTGGCAGGAGAAGTCAGTTCTAGGAATGAAGTCACGGCTGACATTTTACAAATGTGGTTCAGAGCTGCTGCCATGTGGTTGGTCAGTGGTTCTCTAAGTTTTTTTTTTTTCGATCTTAAAATTTTAGGGGAGGGGGGAAGAGAAGAAAACAAATCCTCCAGAGACCTCATAGAGATGACTATCAAATTGCAGAGAGGATGGAAATGCTTAAAGGTACAACTGACCATTTTGGCTTTGCTCTGAGATTTAGACATTACGAGATCAACTTCCATTCCTTAAAAGTGGAAGAGGTCAAGCCATTTATTAAAATCTATGAAAGAGTTTGCTTTGAGAATAGTTTGCTTTATTATGCTGCTTTTCCTTCTCCATTTCCCCTGACTTGTGCAGGACAGGACCAGGGTTTATTGTTTTAGGCTTTTCTGAACATGCACCAGTATTTACACTGGATTGAAAGCATTTGCTTCCAATGAAAATCTTGTCTTAGATTACAACCCAGCAGTGTAATTTCCCTCCCAGATGGGAGTAAAGTAGCTGTATTTGCCTAAAAACAGTAGGAGGAACAAACTGTGCATTAAGCCAAGGCTGTTTTTGGCTTGAGCTAATGATGTAACAGAAACCTTTTATTTGGGATAGGTCACTGCCAGGGATTGAAGGAGGTGATCTGGATCTCGCTTGAAAGGTTTCTCCATTGTATCTACATAAGTCTTCACTTAAAAAATTCTGTTCCTAATGCTTCTGCTTTCATACAGCAGAAATAAACAGGAAAGGTTCTGGTGAGTGTTATACATGGAATGCAGAAAGCCTTTCCCCTCCTAATGGAGTATATAATTCAGGTGCCCTCAAGGCATGCTTTCAGGAATTTTTTTGCCTGAGGTAATGGGAAGCTAAGGCTGCTTTAAGGCCTTGATTATCTATTGATGCACAAAGCTGGAAAAAAGTTATCTCCTCTGGATTATAGTAGGTATTTCCATAAATTATCAATGAATTCTCTTCTATGCAGGCACTAGGCATTTTCTATTAAATTAATCTGAAGGGGTTCTGAAATAGAAAAAAAAATTAAAGGATTAAAAATAATTATCGAAAAGTGGTAAAAAAATGTCAGTAGGTTAGAAGTTTTTCCTTGTGTTTAATCAATGAACAAATGATATGTATTTCTCTTTTCCTTGGTTACTTTGGTAAACAGAAAGTGGATTAGCCCATTGAAATTTTAAATGCTGTTGAGTTGTTTCCTTGGCTCATGTTTCTTTTATGAATTGTTATTTTATATGGTAAATTGCTTCTCTATATAAAAAGCCTCTTTAAACATTGGACTTTAAAAGAATTTATCATTCAAATCTGTCTGGAGCCCTTCTCAGACTCTTGGTTATACAAATAGAAATAAAACTTTTCCTTTAAGCTCCTTGAGGGCAGTGATCCCACTGACACATAACAATGCTTTCTACACAGTAGGTGCTCAATTAATGTTTATTGGATCGGGTTGAAGAATAAACACTAACAAGGGACTGTTTGAAGTCCAATAAATTCCACCAAAGAGGGCACCCAGAAAATTTCTCATGGTTTTTTTTTTAACGTGATTTATTTTTGTTTGATAGGACATGATTACAAATACTGGAAATATAAAAGATTCTTCTTAATGAACTGGAGTTGTGTTTTTAGCTCAGTCTAATTCAAGACACTTTCTTGGTCATTTTTATTTGTTTGTTTGTTCTATTGGCCAAGGGGAGTTGTAGTGAGTTAAGCAGCAACTTAAGTTTCAGTAGGTTGCCTAGTGAAACTGAAATGTAGGTTTCTCTCTGTATAGTGAGAAAAAAAAATTACAGGCATACCTTTTCATATAGAAAATTTTATGTAGAAAACATGCAGAGATTACTAAGAGAGCATTTACAGATCAGAAAATTGATACAATTCTATTCTCTCTTAACACACACACATACACACACACATACACACAAGTATACATATGTGTGTACGTGTTTATGCATATATACACATACTTAAAACTCAAAAACCCATTAAATGGATTTTTCTGGTTTCTTTAGGCCATATAGCATGCTCCCCTATTATTTCATTTACTCTTATATATATTCAGTCAATAGACTTTCTTACTCATTTACTACTACATTACTAATCCTCACCTCTGTGTTTCTTCCTATATCAACCTGTTTATTTCTAAAAAGCCAGGAAAATGTAGAGTGCTAGGGAACTAGCTTCTAAGTTCTAAGGTCCTAAGACATGTTATCCTGCTGCAGCTTATTGAGGAGGGAATTTGATAAGTTTGGAAGATTTCTAAGCAATTCAGTGTATTGGTCCTTCCTTGTTTTTCCTTTTGTCCTTTCTGCTGTTGTGACAAACATAAAAATAACAGTGCCTTTATATTCATGCTTATGATTTATTTTGAGTAGTGTGATTATTTCCTCAGAAAGTATATTTTCTTTTAAATATATAGCTTTAAACTTTTACTACATCCTAAAATATAATTTTATTGCCTCATGGGGCCAACATTTTTCCTCCCAGAGGAGCACAGCTCCAATTTTATAATGGAAATAAATAGCAAAACAGGATTTAATATAGAGAAATATACTTTATCTGCAACTTTTTAGCTCCAATCATGGAATTTTAGAGGTAGAAAAGACCTCAGTGATTATGTAGCCATGTTCTAGACTATAAGTCTAGAAGATAGTTTGATTTCAATTGACACTATTTTAAAATGAAAACTTATTTCATATGTTAAACCACTAGAAGAGAAAATGAATTCTACCTAATGATAGCAGCTTATATTTCTATGGTATTTTAAGATTTACAAAACCCTTTTCTTGCAAAAGCCCTGTGGAATAGATAGTGCGTATATTTTTAGCTCCATTTTGTAGATGGACAAGAACAAAATAAATATCATGGCTGGGATTTGAACCCAGGGCTTAGAATTAAGACTGTTGCCAGGAGGTTAAAAAAAGTGCTCTATTTAAGTCAGAGGACCTGTTTTCAGACGTCAGCTCTGCTGCTTATTGCTTGGCCTCAGTTTCCTCATCTGTGAAATGATGAGGTTAGATTAGATGGCCTCTGGGGTCCTATGTATTTCTAATTCTATAATCTATGACCTCATGTCTAATGCTCTCCGATGTCTTACTTGACTGATTATCTTAATGTTCACCTACTGCTTTAACTTTCCTTAAGGTATATCATTGGTGGATAAGATCAACATCATATGCATCCCCACCCTACTAACTTGATCCCAAAGGCAATATATGGAATTTGTCTCCCCTAGAAGGACGGTGGTACTTGTCACAGCACCATGTTTAATCTACATCAGCTGACAATCACTTATCTGTTCAAGCAGTTGAAGAAATTGTTCTAAAGATAGAATTAATAAAGACCCCATATTTTCCCACTAATTACTTTGTTCCTTCACAAACTGAAAAATTGAAAAATTGGCTGTTAAATCAATTTGCTATTCTGCTTAATTAGAGAGTTCTGTGTTTGGGGTGGAGGTTTTTTTCAGAATTAGCTATTTTAGAGACTAAATAGTTTTTTTTCCTGTCATTGGCAAAACAGTATATTACACTATTACCTCTCAACTACTCTTATGATTTTGTTTATATATAAAGGCAGTTTAAAAAAACAAAAAGCATGTCAAGGTAGCATCAGTCAAAATTTGATTCACTATATTTACAGGTGATGGCTTGGACAACAGTGTAGCTTCCCCCAGCACAGGTGATGATGATGATCCAGATAAGGACAAAAAGCGTCATAAAAAGCGTGGCATCTTTCCCAAAGTAGCCACAAATATCATGAGGGCGTGGCTGTTCCAGCATCTAACAGTAAGTGAACTCTAAATGACATATGTGAAATAAACATAGACAGTGTCCTGTTTGTAGTAGAAAATAATATAAATTGTTCAGAAGTATGATAGTATGATAACTTCTGGACTTGTGACAGTTAAAGAAATAGCTATTAGCACAAATTTTACTAAGGTGAGCACATAGTTTATACATAATATGTGTTTATGTGTATGTGTGTGTGTGTGTGTGTGTGTGTGTGTGTGTGTGTGTGTGTGTGTGTATCACTTCTGAAAGAGGATTTTTGCTTGTAGGTCACCTTTGTAGTTTGGTCAAATTTAGCATGTGCGCAAGATCAAGAATATATAATGAGCATTTGTATGTAAAATGTGTATATAAATGACTTTATTCGAGGAAGTAATAAATGAATTGTTTAAATTCTTGATATTGGGTCCCACAATTTATTTGTTTGTTTGCTTATTTATTGGGGTATAGAGGGAGTCCTGGCCTATGATTTCATTAGTATGAGGGGAATCCCAGTATGGAAACTCCTACCACTGATACTATTTGGAATTCATGGTCTCAAAGAATTTTGGGCTACTAAGAGGACTTACCCAAGGTTACAAAACCAAAATATGTCAAGGACCAAACTGGAAATCAGACCTTTCTGATGACCAGACAGCCCTTTATCACCTAAACTCCACTGCTTCTTACTAACAAATCGCATTAAGAGAAGAAAATGAGGCTTGCTCATTACACAATAGGATTGGGTTTCTGCCAGTGTTTTGGTGAAGTCGGCAAATTGTTCATTAAAAACCCTAGTTATGCTACTGTGATTCATGATAATCACACAACTTATTTTTTAAAGGGCTTGAATGCATTGACTTCTATTGCAGAATTTTCATTTGCTTGAGGCACAGTTCCAAAGTGAAAGTTCTGTCACTGTATTTAGAACAGTAAAGGAAAACAGCAATATATAGTCAGCTCTTCCTGTTCAATCCCTTGTGACTTTTCAAACAGAGTAACAGTTTATATTGTCTGTGTGAGTATTGCTGTTTTCGCTGCAGGAATTCTGCTGGAGATGTGAGAAACTAGAGATACTTGACTATACCACTGGGGGATTTGTTTAGTTTGGTTATTGTTCTGAATGAATTCTATGCACCAAACATTTTTAATCCAAATATTTTGTATTTTTAAAGTATTCTGTTTTAATACTCTATGCAGGATAAGTTAGAAGGAAGGCAAGATGAAATTTATATGATTATAACAGTAGGTTTTTCATATCACTCTTTAAGGTTACAAATCATTTTCATATCGATAGTACATTGCTTAAGTAATTCCTGGTCAGTTTGTAGAAATATTTATATTTTTCAAATTTCAAAAGACAGTCAATAATATTGATATATGGTAAGCAAAAACAGCAAAACTCACACAGACAATATTGACAGAGTTGATACAGAAAATTAAGTTTCAAAATATACCAGCCTAAGTTAATGTAAAAGATTAAACATTTGTTTAAATACTTTTAAATGCCAGAAGGAAATTGACCTATATCTATTTTCCATGTGTAAAACTATATATTTATTTAAAAGTTTTATGTGAGTGCTTTTAGCCTGGGGTCCCTTTGAACTTGTGGTTTTTCTACTGTGTCAAAATTAGCCCTTCATTGTCACAAAAGTAAACTGAAATGGGGATATCAGCCATTGAATCACATATACTTGCCACATTTAAAAAGCTTTGCTATTTAGCAAATCTAATGATAAGCCTAGCTCTACTCTTTTTCAGAGAGTAGGCATTCAGCAACATTCAAGAAAATAAATTATTGCAGATTGTTTTTCTGCAGAATTGCTAAGGAAACAGAGCAGCAGTAGTAACTTTGTAACGTATATGCTCCACCCTACATACCACCATTCAAAGTTGAAGGTAGTTTTGTTTTGTTTTGTCAAAAAATTTAGGACAAATGTTAAGTAACTTTGAATACTCCAGATGAGCAATTCTCAAACCTTTTGCCCTCAGGATCACTTTATACTCTTAAAAATTATTGAGGACCCAAAAGAACTTTTGGGGGTTTTTTGGGTTATGTCTGTTGATATTTACTATATTAGAAGTTAAAACTGATAATTAAACTATTTATGAATGCACTTAATACAGATAAACCCATTATACGTTAACATAAATATATGTTAATGAAAAACAACGTTTTCCAGGATAAAATATACTAAGAAGAGTGGCATCATATTACATATATATGTGCATATTATATATGCAAATATCTTTAATTTCCGGCCTAACAAGACAGCTAGCTTCTCACATCTGCTTCTGCATTCAATCTATGGTGATATGCTGTTTTGACTGAAGCATATGAAGAAAATCTGACATCACAGACATATACTTGGAAAAAGGAAGAATATTTTATTAGACAAATAATGTCATAGTATTATTATGAAAATAGTTTTGATCTCAAAGGCTGCTGAAAGGGTCTTAGGCACTCCCAAGGGTCCCCAAGGACTACACTTTGAGAACTGCTGTTGTCGATAATATTTAGCTGATATTATCACAGGGTATCCCAAAATATCATTGCTATACCATCAATTCTTCAAAGACGTAATAATAATAACTAGTGTTGTGCTAACATACTAAAGCATAATACTTTAAGATTTGCCAAGTACTTTACATGTATTATCTCATTTGATCCTTACTGCAACCCTGGAAGATAGGTACTATTACATGCATTTTACGGATGATGAAACTGAGGCTGAGAGAGGTTAAGTGACTTGCCCAAAGTCATCAATCAAATGTCTGAGACTGTATTTCAGACTCAGATCTTCCTCATATCCAGTACTTTATCCATTGTTGCCACCTAGCTTTTTTGATGCCTGATTTCATTAATGGGGGTATTTCCTCTGCTGATGCCAATCTTAACTTCCTTTTGACTTAGTATAATATCTTCTTGAAATTCTGTAGCTGAAAAGACTCAATATCCATTGGCCAACCTTCTGCTTAAGAGGCTCTCTAAACTTAAGTGGTCTGATCCTTGGAAAAAAGACATTAAGTCTTTCACCAGGCCTTTATATTGGATTCTCTTCTAGCTTGGTAGAAATCTTTTGGCTTCTCATTTGATGATTGATCCTTCAAGAATTCAGTGGCACTTTCTTACCATGATAAGGCAACAAAATGGGACTTCAGTCATTTTTATATTTTATTAAATTGACAGCATTTAGAGCTACTAGTCAGAGAGGCAACCTTTTTCTGATACTAGTTGTGCTTCTATAGAAGAGCCTTTTTATAAGGTCTGCCCTAAGAAAATTTGCTGGTGTGCCTCTTCTGCCAGCATTGAGTCCCATAAGAGGTGCCCAGTGGGATTAGGAACCATGAAGCACAAAGTTGTCTTGCTGTTTGAGACTAGCAAGAGAAGAGAGGTAACAATGGGTCAAATGCAATGTTGCTGCCATGCTGATATTTTATCACTGGGGCCAACCAGTTTATAAATAACCTAGAAAAAAAAATCAAGGCTGGCCCCGGAGCCATAATAAAACTACTTTTTATAGTCTAGGCTTATACTAAAGTATAAAATAAATGGGCTTTCCTCAGCCTCCATTCAGATCTGTAAAAAAGCTTTACATTTAACTTCAAACTGAGGTGCCACTGAATAAAATATTATCAAATATTGGTTCAGAGAGAATGAGAAAAGAGAGTGGGAAAGTAAGGGAAAGCTACTTCTTTTATCCTTCCACCAGATACCTGCTATTTATAGGTTATATATTCATGATTAGTCTTGCAGATAGATGATCATACTGTAAAAAGTTTTACAGGCTACGAAAATATTCACTGACTTTTCCTATTCCTAAGCAATGCGTATATGAACAAACATATTGCTGGCCAGTGCTTTTACTTTTAAGTTTTAAGTAAAGTTGTTATTTATCAACTTCTTGATTTATTTCTAGCTTGGGTATTATTTTCCTTTCTGGGTTGTCTAGGTCTCTCAGGCCATCTCAAGTTCTAGAAGGCTATTCTAGCAGCTGATGAACTTTAAAAAGTTCTATCCAATTGGAAGGGTTTTGAGTACATGTCTAACTATGAGCTGTGTTTCAGTTGTCAGGACCAGCTTAGTTAAATTCAGAGAGTGGCCATAAGGTGATGATTTTTTTTTATATCCATAACAAATAACAGACACCACATACTAAGTTTTAGAAGGTTGTATTTTATGTCAGTAGAAAGAGGACTCTCATACTGACAAAATTACAGATCTTTGACATTTTGATTCCGAACCTGGCAGCATCATTGAGCCGAGAGGGCACCCAAGCTCGTTTTCCTCCATAGAGTTCAACCAGCAGAGAGGCAGGATAGGTTATCCAATTGCTTTAAACTACTCCCTTCATTGTTTTGATGGCTTTTACCTAGTTGACTAGCAGGTCACAGGGCGGTCTTGACATCGTCATCATCCAGTGTAAGAGGTTTCAGTCATTCATGACCCAAAGAGTGAGAATTGTTCTTACACCACAATACTGAAAGAAAAGTCCACATATGTATTTTGTGAAGTTAATTCTTGGGTTAATTTTCGTTACCCCTTTCACCTCTTCTACCAATATAGTCTCAGGAATAGGTGTTTATCCAGGGTAAATTCTAATTTATGCTGAAATACTGATTTCATTTATTTTGCCATCTATATACCTCAAGCTGAAAAGGCAAGTTTGTGCAACTGTTTGGGGCCATATGAGCTTTGGAGTTATTTAAATGGCTGCTCTAATTCCACCCTTCTGGTTTAAAAGTAGGGTCTTATTTAGTTTTAAAAGTCAGTTTCAAACTTCAGCAGGAGTTAGCAACAACGATAATAATAACAGCACGTTTATATAGCTCTTTAAAGTTTACAAAGCATTTTTTCTCGCTATAATCCCATGCAAACTGGGAACTATGTGATCAGGTGGAATAGTTATGATCTAACAGGGAATGAATTCTGAAATCCTACAAGGGGTTAATTTTAACTAATGTTGATTTTTTAAAAATTATTTTTTCACAAGCCATTTAGGAGATTATAGGTCGTT